GGAACTGACCGTGGCCGAGGAGACCTCCAGCTCCCTGCGCCTGTCCTGGACGGTGGCCCAGGGCCCCTTTGACTCCTTCGTGGTCCAGTACAGAGACAAGGATGGGCAGCCCAAGGCAGTGCCTGCGGCCGCGGACCAGCACATGGTCACCATAGAGGACCTGCAGCCTGGCAGGAAATACAAGTTTCTGCTGTACGGGCTCCTCGGGGGAAAGCGCCTGGGCCCGGTCTCCGCTCTGGGAATGACAGGTGAGGCTGCCCGCCTGGGTTTCCCTGTGCCTTTGGGCTGAAGATGAAGATGACCGCAGGAGTGGGCAGGCCGGAGTGGGGCGCCCTGGCCTGTGCCCAGGAAGGAGAAGTCGGCAGCCCTGTGGGCTTCGACATCCGTCAAGGAGTCGAGAGCAGGAGCCAGGCCAGGCGGGAGGGAAAGGCCCTGGCAGGGGACCCCCAGTCTCCCAGCCCCCCTCTGCCCCATCACTGCCGCTGCTCCCCATTATTCACTGGGGCAGCTGTCACCTCCCCAAAGGGTGGCCTTGTCCAGATAGGGACAAATCTCCCTGCCATGGATGAGTCAGGAGCATTTTCGTAAGAGGAAAATCACTGGGAAACAGTGAGCGGGGTCACAGAAACCAACAGAAGTGGCTGCATTTATGGTGCAGGCTCCTCTGCCAGAGCTCGCCGCTGCCCACCTCAGACAGGCCTGACCAGGGCACGGCTGGTGGGATTTGCCCGTCACCGTCAGCGGCTAGTCCCACCCTCAGCTTCTCTCAGAAGGGAGCAGGGAGCACCACACCCCCAAGCTCAGCGAGCGGGGGCAGAGCCTGTGCTATCTCGAGGTGGGCGCGATGGGACCCTGGGTGTGGAATCGGAATTGAGCACCTGAATCAGACAGCGAGGGGCTCTCGAAGGAGTCACGAGGCAACAGTGACTTCCCAAGCAGGGCGCAGGCCACGGTGCTGGGGCTCAGAAGCCCTGGGAGTTCTGAGCAGGAGGCCGCACCAAAGCAGGGATATTGGCAGAATCGGGGCGGAAGTCCTGGCAGAGCCTGGCTCCTCCCGTCTCTCCACCAGGCTGCCACGGCCAGGTCCTGTAAGCTTCCCACCTCAGCCTTGGGCAAGCCTGGAATCCCCTCTTTGGGGAGAAAGATAAAAATGGAGGGCCCCGTGGCATCCCCCACTCAGATTCTCCCCTGGGCTTCTCCCACGCAGCCCCAGAAGAGGACACACCAGCCCCAGAGTTAGCCCCAGAGGCCCCTGAACTGCCTGAAGAGCCCCGCCTAGGGGTGCTGGCCGTGACGGACACAACCCCAGACTCCCTGCGCCTCTCATGGAGCGTGGCCCAGGGCCCCTTTGATTCCTTCGTGGTCCAGTACGAGGACGCGAAAGGGCAGCCCCAGGCCTTGCTGGTGGATGGCGACCGGAGCAAGGTCCTCATCTCAGGCCTGGAGCCCAGCACCTCCTACAGGTTCCTCCTCTATGGCCTCCATGAAGGGAAGCGCCTGGGGCCCGTCTCAGCTGAGGGCACCACAGGTACCACCAGGCGTCCCCGGCCTCTAGTCTGTGACTGGGAAGTGGGGAAGGGGGGCCCAGAAGTGGTGGTCACAGGGAAAGACCGTGAGGCGGGTGCCAGGGAGAGAGGACAGGTAGGATGGATTCGAGTGGCCTTTAGCTCTGCCCCACAGGACCCCCCTTTGGCTGCAAGTCCCCAGTTACAGATGGAGAAACGGGGAGGGAGGGGTTGAAGGAACATGCCCTGGGTCACCAGGCTGGTGTGCTTCTGTCTCCAATCCCTTCTCTCTCACCCATTCCATGCAGGACCCGCCCCTGCTGGTCAGACCTCAGGGGAGCCAGGGCCCCGCCTGTCCCAGCTGTCCGTGACTGATGTGACCACCAGTTCACTGAGGCTCAACTGGGAGGCCCCACCTGGGGCGTTCGACTCCTTCCTGCTCCGCTTCGGGGTCCCATCCCCAAGCACCATGGAGCCCCACCCGCGTCCTCTGCTGCAGCGCGAGCTGATGGTGCCGGGGACGCGGCACTCGGCCGTGCTCCGGGACCTGCGTCCCGGAACTCTGTACAGCCTAACGCTGTATGGGCTGCGAGGGCCCCACAAGGCCGACAGCATCCAGGGCACCGCCCGCACCCTCAGCCCAGGTAAGGCCCCACAAATACTGCCCAAAGTGAGGGTCTTTGTACTTCGAGGGGGGCGGGGGCACCTAGTGCCTCACCCAGCGGCAGGGGCGGGTGAGTTGGTGGTGGACTTGGAGGGATCTGCAGAGCGACTTCCATTCCTGGGGTCTAGAGGAAAGGGGTGGTGGCCTGTCCTGGAGCAGGGGCGAGAGGTGGGAATTGTACGGAGGAGCCTCCCTGCCCCTGTCTGCACCTTTGTTCCCTGCCCTCTGCAGTGCTGGAGAGCCCCCGTGACCTCCAATTCACCGAAATCAGGGAGACCTCAGCCAGGGTCAACTGGATGCCCCCGCCATCCCGGGTGGACAGCTTCAAAGTCTCCTACCAGCTGGCGGACGGAGGTGGTGCCTTTGCCATGTGCTCATTGCCTCACGTGTCAGCCTCCCCGCTGTACTCTGCCCACCTTCCAGCCACTCTGGGGTTCCCTGGGTAACCCCTGGTCCCCAATGTTTTCAGGGGAGCCGCAAAGTGTGCAGGTGGATGGCCGGGCCCGGACCCAGAAACTCCAGGGGCTGATCCCAGGCGCTCGCTACGAGGTGACCGTGGTCTCCGTCCGAGGCTTTGAGGAGAGTGAGCCTCTCACAGGCTTCCTCACCACAGGTGAAATGGACTGGGACCCAGGGCAAGAGGTGGGAGCCATGAAAATGGCATGGGTGGCAGTTGGGAGGGAATGGGGAGGGTGAAGGGAGGTGGTGGAGGCTCCGATTTCGGGCAGGAACCCAGTAGAGTTTGGGGAGGCTTGGAGTAGACCAAGCAGCAGGGACGCCTCTGAGCCCCTCGCCTTCCCCCAGTTCCTGATGGCCCCACCCAGTTGCGTGCACTGAACTTGACCGAGGGATTCGCCATGCTGCACTGGAAGCCCCCCCAGAATCCTGTGGACACCTATGACGTCCAGGTCACAGCCCCCGGGGGTGAGCAGGGCTGAGGCCTCTGGAAGGGACCTGTGCAGGGTGGGGATTGCAGCGGGGAGGCTGGACTCTGGCTGGGGATGGAGGGGGCAGGCATTGATGCCCCCCAACCTGCACTCCCAGCCCCGCCTCTGCAGGCCGCGGCCCCAGGCAGCGCTGTGGACTACCCCCTGCATGACCTCGTCCTCCACACCAACTACACCGCCACCGTGCGTGGTCTGCGGGGCCCCAACCTCACTTCCCCAGCCAGCATCACCTTCACCACAGGTAGGGTCTGTGGGGTGAGTGGGACGGGAGAGGGGAGGTAGAGGAAGCAGGATGGGCCTTATTCCCGTCTCCTCTTCCCACTTTCCGTCCTAGGACTAGAGGGCCCTCGAGACTTGGAGGCCAAGGAAGTGACCCCCCGCACAGCCCTGCTCACTTGGACTGAGCCCCAAGTCCGGCCCACAGGCTACCTGCTGAGCTTCGACACCCCTGGTGGACAGACCCAGGTGCCCCACTGACCAACTCCCCTCCCTGGGTGATTCCAGGAGGTGCTGCCCACCCAGAGGGTCTCCACCTCCCTCTCCCTTGACCCACCCCCTTGTCTGTCCCACAGGAGATCCTGCTCCCAGCAGGGGTCACGTCTCACCAGCTGCTCGGCCTCTTTCCCTCCACCCCCTACAGTGCTCGGCTCCAGGCCATGTGGGGCAAGAGCCTCCTGCCGCCCGTGTCCACCTCTTTCACCACGGGTACCTGGATGCAGGGGCTGGCAGCCGGGGGCTGGGTGGGCAGCCAGGGCCTAAGGCTTGGAAAAGGACTGGCCCCTGCTCTCCTCTCCCCAGGTGGGCTGCGGATCCCCTTCCCCAGGGACTGCGGGGAGGAGATGCAGAACGGAGCCGCTGCCTCCAGGACCACCACCATCTTCCTCAACGGCAACCGCGAGCGGCCGCTGAACGTGTTTTGCGACATGGAGACCGATGGGGGCGGCTGGCTGGTGGGTGGCATTGAGAAGCCCAGGGGACTCTGCAGGGCAGAAGCTGTCACCCCGGGAGCCAGAGGCTGATGGGTCCCCCACCTGCTTTCCAGGTGTTTCAGCGCCGCATGGATGGACAGACAGACTTCTGGAGGGACTGGGAGGACTATGCCCATGGTTTTGGGAACATCTCTGGAGAATTCTGGCTAGGTCAGTGCCTCACAGGGATTGGGAAACTAGGGAGGGGATGGGGGCCCTGTGGACACCAGGACCCTGATGAGAGCACGTCTCCCACCCCCAGGCAATGAGGCCCTGTACAGCCTGACACAGGCCGGTGACTACTCCATGCGCGTGGACCTGCGGGCTGGGGACGAGGCTGTGTTCGCCCAGTACGACTCCTTCCGCGTAGACTCAGCTGCGGAGTACTACCGCCTCCACCTGGAGGGCTACCACGGCACCGCAGGTAGGCACGGGCCACGGGGTTGGGAGGGTGAGGCTGGGAGGGGAGGCCCTCATGGCTCCTTCCTCCACCCTGCCCAGGGGACTCCATGAGCTACCACAGCGGCAGTGTCTTCTCTGCCCGTGATCGGGACCCCAACAACTTGCTCATCTCCTGCGCTGTCTCCTACCGAGGGGCCTGGTGGTACAGGAACTGCCACTACGCCAACCTCAACGGGCTCTACGGGAGCACGGTGGACCATCAGGTGAGGGGCAGGAGGGAGCACGGCGGACCATCAGGTGAGGGGCGGGAGGCCGCACAGAGCTGGGGGTGGCTGGGGCTCAGCTTGCCTAGGTTTCAGCCCCGCAGTGTAACAGGCAAGGGACTGAGCACTGGGTAAAAGGGAACAATCATGCCAGCCACACACAGGGAGCTGGAGGTGATTTATTGGCTGGAAAGGGCCAGCTCAGGATGAAACCGGAGGGTCAGGAGGGGAGCTGTGTGGGGCGGTTGGCTGAACGGGAGGAGCAGATGGGACATCTGGCTTTGACACTCTCTTGACACCCATTTTCCAGGGAGTGAGCTGGTACTACTGGAAGGGCTTTGAGTTCTCGGTGCCCTTCACGGAAATGAAGCTGAGACCAAGAAACTTTCGGTCCCCAACGGGGGGAGGCTGAGCTGCTGCCCACCTCTCTCGCACCCCAGTATGACTGCCAAGCACTGAGGGGTCGCCCCAAGAGAAGAGCCAGGGGCCTTCACCACCTGGCCACTGGAGGAAGCCTTCTCCTTCTCTGCCAGTGACCTCACAGCACTATGTTTACAGGGGGGAGGGGAGGGGCTCGTAGGGGAGCAATAAAGGAGAAACTGAGGCACCTGACTGAAATCGGTCCTGCCCCTTCACTGGCTGTGGGCCCCCATTCCCCGGGGCTGCAGCCGCACTTGGAAAGGCTGCATCTTGAGGATGACGCTGCAGTAGGGCAGGGGCTGCAGGGAGGGCAGGGCGTCCCCGGGGGGCAGCAGCGTGAAGGCCTGCAGCAGTCGGGCCAGCACCACGAACAGCTCCAGGCGCGCCAGCGGCTCACCCAGGCACACACGCGCCCCGCAGCCGAAGGCCAGCGCTCTGGAGTTCTTGCCTGGCTCCAGGAAGCGATCTGCGGGCGGGTGGACAGGTGGGTAGGGAGATGCTCAGCGGCTTCGGGGACCAGCCTCCACCACCTTTGCACGGCAGACCCCTGGCCCCCCACATACCAGGCCAGAACTCATGCGGCCTCTCCCAGACCGTCTCATCGAGGTGGGCGCCTTGGAGGTTGGGGATGATGACTGTGCCCTCGGGGATGTCGTAGCCAGAGATGCTGAAGGGGGCTGCAGTTAGAGGCTGGCCAGGACCTCGCTGGGCTCAGGCTTTCCTCACTCATCCCAACCCCTGGGAGTCACCTGCTGGGCCGTGTGGTGCGGTGGGGCAGGGCCAAGGGCACGACGGGCCGCAGGCGCAGCACTTCGGCGATGGTGGCATTGAGCAAGGGCAGCCGTGCGCGGTCCTTGTAGGGAACCCGGGAGCTGGAGGCACTGGGGCCCAGTTCGTGGTCTAGCTCCTCCTGCAGTCGCTGCTGAATCTGGGGAATGATCGGGTGGAGTCCTGCCCCAGCCAGCCCACAGCTGCCCAGTGTCTGGCCACTCCCTCAGCCACCCAGTGAGCCTGAGTGCCCGTGAAGAGACAGCAGCCCTTCTGGGCAAGCACAGCGCTCAGAGCCGAGTAAGGGTGCCCACCACCCTGACTGGGCTGCTTGGAAGGAGCCTTGTGCCTGTCCCCAGGGCGCACCTCAGGGTGGTGAAGCAAAAACACCACGGCCCAAGAAAGGGTGACTGCCGTGGTCTCAGTGCCACCAATGAGGAGGTCCACCGCAGCCATGTGCACGTGCCCTTCCAGGAGCTGTCCAGAGTCCTCTTCCACGCTCGGCTGCGCCACTCCTTGGAGCATGTAGTCCATCATGCCCCTCCACCGGCCTGCCACCAGGCTCTCCTGCAGAGGGTGGGAGGAGCAGGCTGAGCGCCCGTCCTGGGGAGAGGGGCACGGAGTGGCAACAGGCCCAGAACTGGGAGATACAGGCGAACCCGCCTCATAATGATGTTGCGGCCAGTAGCGTCCCTGGCTGTGTGCTGAGGGGAGCCCGTCCACACACAGCCCCCACCTTGTGCTGCCTCAGCTGCTTCTCCACGAAATGGTCCCTCTTCTCTATGGCCTTCTTCAGCCTCCGGAGACCTGGATTGGGGAAGAACTGAGACAGGAAGCGTGAGAGTGCAGCTTCGGGAAGAAGCCTCTCCCTCCACCCACCGCTCCCCAGGGTGTCTAGGCTCCACCTCCTCACCCTGAGAAAGGGAATCACGTCCACAATTTGGATGGACCAGTGGCTCCAGGTTTTTAGCACCTCCTGGATACATTTGTAACAGGCAGGCATCAAGTTGTCCTCCTGCCAGAAAAGGAGGACCAGCTTTCAGTTCAGGACCAGGAGAGGCCCAGGAAGGGGCTGGGGGTGGGCCGGAGGGGCTGCGAGGCACCTTGATCTTGTCTCCAAAGGTGAGGTAACAGATGATGCTGCAGGTGAGGAGAGAGAATTCCTCCTCGATGGCCACAGGGGTGCCGGCCTGGGCTCTCATGCGCTGTGGAGAAGGAGCGTGAGCTCAGCAGGCCGGGGTGCAGCGGGCAGGGCAGGGACTACTGAGAGAGGCGAGGCTGACCCGAGGGGTCTCAGGAGCCCAGCCTTACCTCACAGAAGTCCTGGGTCAGCTGCTCCACCACAGGCTCCATGGAGTCACGGAGGCCCAGCAGCAGGGCTGAGCGTGTGAGCTTCTTGTGGGCTTTCCAGAGCAGAGAGTAGTCTCCCAGGGACAGGTCTGGGTAGTTCTTAGACACCAGCTTGTCTGCAGGAGGAGTAGGGGGCTGGAGGGTGGGAACTGACCAAGGTCAGTCAAGGGCCCGATCTTCTTCTGCCTCCCCCAAGAAATGCCCCCACCAGGTGCAGGTGGCTCCCACTTGAGGCTGAGGTGGGAGGATCACCTGAGACCAGGAATTCAAGACCAGCCCGGGCAATGTAGCAAGACCCCATCTCTTAACAAAAATTTTTAAGAAAGAAAAAATGCCCCCAGCCCTTACAGGTAAGTGGCTCAGGTCTGCCGGCAAAGTCTGCCCACTTTTTGACCATGGCTTCCTCAATGGTCCTCTTGGAGTTCAGCACCACCACATCTGGGGGAGAGCCAAAGCAGGGTCAGCAGAGAGAGAGGACCCCCTCCCCTCCTCCGCCATCCTCCTGTGGTGAGGGCCAGGGCAAGAATAGGTTCTCACCTTGCAGCCCAAGGTGGAGCCTATAGACGGGCCCGAATTTCTGAGTCAGGCCAAGCAGATAGATGGGGAGGTTGGGCTGCAGCAGGTGCAGGAAGCCCGGGGCAAGAGGCGGGAGGTGGAGGCTCCTGCGCTGCCACCAGTTCCACAGCAGGCGGGCACCTGCCAGCAGGGGCAGCAGCAGCAGCCCCAGGAACAGCATGGCGAGACGCCCGTTAGGGCCCTGAGACGCCACTTATAGCTCTAGAGCCCTGGCCATCCCTCCTGCTGTGTAGACGGTTTTGGGGCCTCCCTTGACCCCACCTTCAGGTCCCTTCCTACCATCCCGCCCACAGAGTGGCCCTTTTCTGGAGTGGCACCAGTCTCATTGGCCTTGGAATGTCATATTTCAAAATATTGATCATCCATCAAGAAGCAAAGAAGGAAAATGCAACCCTGACCTTTTTCCTGCAGCCAGAATCAGCCTTCTGGCTCCTCATCAACTGCGCAGGCATGGGTGTCCGCCCCCTCCTGGGCCCTCTCCCTCTGCCCACCGTGGGCCAGTTTACTGGCATGATGTTTGTCTTAGAGAGAAAGTGGCAGTCCCTGCCTAATATGCCTTCCTGGGTAGCCTGAAGAACAAAATGTGACTTGTGTGGGGTTTTTGTTAGTTGAAGTTACAGATGGAGTAATACAGATATGGCCTGGTTCACCTGGGGCATTCCAGTATATGCGGGTATCCCGGTATGATTGTTATGAGCACCTTCTTTCACTTGCAGAAGTGCCCAGGAGACCAAGAAGGAGGTGGTCTCCCGTTGCGGAGTACTTAGCATGTACCAGGCACTGTGGACAGCGTTTTGCCTGCACTAACTCAATTCACAGCCATGCTCTGTATGCAACACGGGTATTGTCTGCATGTGGTGGAAGGCAGGATTCGGGCCTGGAAATCTAGCTGCAGAATATGTACCTTTAGCCACTAGGAGCACCTTTCTTTGGTTGAAAGAAAAAGAGACCACCTTGAGCTGGTTTGAGATAAAAAGTAAGAATTGGGATATTTCACATAACAGAACTCAGGAACAGGAAAGCAGGGGAGGGGACCTCACTGTGGCCTTAGAAAGCCAAGGATGGGGAACAGAAAAAGCCCCGGAGACAGGTAGCTTCCTGGCTCTGTTCCTCTCTCCTCTTTCTTCTCTCTGCAGTCAAGTTTCTTGTGTTACCAGGTGCAGGCAGAACATGACTGCCCTCAGGACAAGAGTCCACAGGTTCTAGGTCCAGCCAGGGAGAGTGTGGATTCCCAGCACAACCAGGCATGCCCCCCTCAATTCCAAAGTCTCCAGGAAGGAGCTGGATAGCTACAGCTGGAGCAGGATCAGGGGTCCAGCCCTATTTGGGGACCTGAAGCCATAAGGGGTGGGGGTTCCATGGACCAAGTGACACTTAGAGACCACTTTTGTGGGTGAAGAGTCAATGTGGGGGTTTGGGAATAGGCCATGCCAAAGAGGAGTGGCAGGGCTTAGTGCGAGGCCAGGGCCACCCGGATGGCGTATAGGAGGTCAGAGGCGACCCAGGCCCATCCTTTCCCCCAGCTCCCCATTTCTGGTTCTGTAGCCAGATCCAAGGACGAGTAGGGGTCTCTCCCCCTTCAGAGTTTTATCCAGGCTGTGCTGCTGCAGAGCCCTAGTCCAGATCCCGGCTCTGCCACCCACTAGATTGATGAGTTCACTGCTGCTGAATCCTGCATCCGTTATGAGGACTGAGAGGGAGAAAACAGGATTGGGATTTCTGGGGTTGGGCAGTGACGGCTACTGCCTTCTTCATGGTTGATCTCCCAGACCAGGCCATGTCTTGCCACAGCTGCAACTAAATCCTTGGCTCTGGAAAATGGGTTTATGCCACCACCATGCTGACCAGCTTTGGGGAAAAAGATGTGATGGGCAACCATAGGGCCATGTACACAAGAGCCCCAGGAAACCTCTGCCACAGTGGGAAAGGTCCAAACTTCCCTAAGCTACATGGGATAAGAGCATACTCATTGGAAAGGAGCGCACCCTGGAAAGCCGGCATGCTCACGACTTGGCTCACCATCTCCCGTCTCTTCCAGCCCATCTCCAAATCCAAACTCCAAATGTGGTCAATTACATGCAGTGTCCCCAGAGGTGCCCTGTCCTGCCCCTGGCCTCCAGGCCTTTGTATATTCCCCTTCTGCTCCAGGCACCCTCTCCTACCCCTACTGGTTGCCTGGCTCCTTCTCAGTCTTTAGACCCCCCTTGGAGGCCAACTGCTCCAGGAAGCCTTCCCTGCCCCTGCCTGGCAATGCCCCTGACTTGGTTAGATGCCTCACAGGACCACACCGTTCTCTGACATGGCATCTTTCACAGAGGTTGGGTACTGCCCGTCCTCTTATCTGTCTCCCCCAGCAATGAGCCCTGGAGTGAGTGAGTAGCTGTGTCTCTGGAACCTGGCACAGGGCATGGCCAGGTTCTTGAAGTGTAAATTTCACACGTTTGTCGAATGATTGGATGGCAGGCTGCTGAACTGCTGAACCGTCATGACCTCCATGGAAACTGATCTTAGCAAACTTCTTTGGACAGATTTTGGAGTCATCTCTGAAGACTACAGGTGTGCCACTGAATGGGGGAAAACTAGGCACGGGAGGTGGGGAAGTTAGACCCCAGGAGAACAGCAGCTTCCTCGGAGTGTTAACAAACACACCAAAGTCAGACTTTGGCTTGTTTGAAATCGGTAGCTGGAAAGACACTATGGGATCTGGGGATTGCACAACTCTGGGAAAGTCACCTCATGCCACTGATAACAGAACTGTCAGCAGGCTTTCAACTGCCCGGAAGTCAGCTAAAATCCACAGACCTCAGAACTGCCAGCAGCACGAGGACAGAGTGGGGGAGGTGTGGCTGGACAACAGCTCATGAGGCTGAAGAGCTGGGTCAGAGGTGTCAGCTGAGCACAAGCCCTGTCTGAGGCCACAGTGACTGGTGAAAGCCAGGCGGTGGAGGGCCTTGGAAGCTGAGGGTGGCCATGACGTGGACTCTGGTCCTCGGGATGCAGGCTCTTGGGTCCCAGCTCTGCTCAGGGTGGTCCTGTGATAAACTAAACTCCTAGTGGGCCATCTGGGAAGGTTCAGCAGAGTTGGGCAGCCCAAGTGTCATCGGGGCTCAGAGAGTCTGAGGTTATGTCAACCTGGCCTGCCCCAGAACTGGAATGGGCAGGGGCACTGCTCCCGGCCCTACGACACACACTGACGCTTTGATGCCAAAGGCCTTTATTATGCCCCAGCCCCAGGCTGTGCTCAGGAAATGGGACACAGCAGTGCTTCCAGCTTCGAGGTTCCCAGGCTCAGCTTCCTCCCGGGGGAGGTGGGAGGGCAGCCCTCACACCTGGCACCCCTGAGTGCTGTACTCCTGGATGAAGTCGTTGAGCTGGTTGCAGGCTGCCCGCTGGCGGGTGCTCTGGCACAGGCGTTCAGAGGGCATCTCCTCGATCCAGCTATTCGAGTCCAGCAGGTACTGGGGGCTGCAGGGGGCAAAGGGCCAGTCAGCAGGGCTCAGGAGGATGGCAGGTGGGAACGGAGAGCACAGGCGTCTGGCTTCTGAGGGGCAAGGCCTAGGTGGTGAGGCATGAGGAGAGCAAGAGACTGAGGGGACCAGGTGACTCACTGTCCCTCGAGGTCATAGGTGGCTCCATCCAGACCCATGATCAAATATTCTTTCCCAGGTTCCAAGCGAAGGCGGCAAGAGGCTCGAACCAGGAAGTTGCGCATCTGATTAACAGTGGCCTTGACATCCTTGGCTGAAGGGATGACGTGCACAAAAGTGGTCAGAAGGGAAGAGAAGGTGCAGGACGAGCACAGCCCAGGGCTCTGGGTAGATCCTCTCATTCCACCTCGGCCACCCCCATGGAGAGGTGCCACTGCCTCCCTACTTGTGGGCAAGCCCAGGGCTTCTGACAGGCCAAGGGGATTTTCACACGTCCACATGGTCAGGTCCTCAGCCAGACCTCGGCCTCCCTGTCTCCCACCAGCCCTGCCCGCCTCCCAGTTCCCTTCATACTGAAGTGCAGGACTTGGGTGATCTTGGTCTCAAAGAGGCGGAAAGCAGCTCTGTTGTCTTCTCGGAGAACCTTAACCTGGAAGCCTAAGAGGGGGTTGGCAGAAGGGGGAAAGGTGAGTTACCTTGAGGCTGAGAGGGCAGGAAGTTGGTGTCAGAGCAAAGAGGCTGCATGCGTGGCCTGTAAGAGGAGCAGGCTACATCCAGAGAGACCAACGCAGTCGGTCCCCAAGGGAAGGTGAGGCCAGGGCCTCGTGGAAGACTAACCGTACTCCACACGGGGGTAGTAGCAGGCAAACTTCATCCTGTAGCCATCCTCGTCCTGCAGGCCCCGCTCCAGGGCGCGACGCTGGCGAGGGCACTTCCCTGAAGTCAGGGGCCCCATCAGACAGTGCGGGGACCCCCCTGGCCATCTCCACCACCCCGCCCCAGGCCCTCAGTCTCACCCTCAGCACACTGGCAGACTTCAGCAGAACACAAGGTGGCCAGGAGCCTGCTCTTAGTTGGTGCCCCGTAAAACACAGAACATCTGCGCTCTGGAGAACAGAGAGGAGTTAGGGCACAGGCCCCTCTGTTCTGCCTTCTCAGTCCCAGGGAGCCCCTGGGCTCTCTGACCCCTCACTGCCCCATAGGAGGGCGCCTATGCCAAAGCTCCCTTGAATTCCAGGGTGTCCCGCAGTGCTCACCGGGGTTGTAGTAGTCGTACAGGGCTGCGCTGGCCGGCTGCACCAGCCCCACGGGCACTTCCTGCACAGCTTCAAAGCCCACGCACTCCCGGGAGGTGGGGACCTGGCCCAGCGTGGGGAGGAGAGATGAGGGACCCGCTCCCGGGCCCTGCAGCCCCCTGTGCTGTACTGCCTTGGCCTGCTTTTGGTTCCTGCTGGCCTTCTCTCCAGTGTCCTTCACATTCTGTTACCTTCTATTCAGAGAACTCTCAAAGCTGCTTCGCAAGGTCTCTGGTGACTTCACTTCCCAGAGGGTGACCTTGGCCCATTCTTCACTGCCCCAGGCCCTCAGCATAGTCTAGCATCAGGGACATCTTCTCTGTGAAACTGTCCCTAAGCTAAGGGTTCACTTCTGGACCCGCCTTGGTTCTGACCCTGTCATTTCTTACATTCCCCGCTTCTGCCTTCCTTCCTCAGGGCTCCCCTGCGGGGGTCTCAAGCAGTCTCTGGCTTCCAGTCCAGGCTGATGATTTCCAGACTGAACGTGCAACTCCATCCTTGCATTAGGATTTTGGCAGGACCCGTAAGTTCTC